ATCAGATGATGCTTGTAAACTGGGTAGCAAAGTGGCCGGTATGCTCCCCAAACTGGGTTAACATCCTACATGAACACAAAGGTAAGTCATATAATTCATATTTTAAGATAAGTCCAATGAGAAATGTTTCATATATGTCCTCATGCATATCCTATATATGTTTATCTGTAAATATACTAATCCATGTCTACAAATATTATGTAGTATATACACATACACTTGTAACTTTTTACCCTATGAAACATTTTTAAAGGTGCAGCCTCACTGTGAGAAAAATGGGGATAGTAATATTATGTGCCTCATAGGCAATATGAGAATTAAATGAGTTCATAATATAAAGAGCACGTAGAATGATGCCTAGGGTACAGCAAGTGCTATTTCACTCTTCGCTATCTATATCATTATGATTATCAATGCAGAATGAGAAGACCACACTGCTCTGAGGTGTTCTTTGTGCCAAGCTATCTGCCAGGTACTAGGGATTCAGAAGCCAACAAGATGGGCTCGGGTCCTACCCACAAGAAGAGTCCTACCCTGTAAGACAGCTAAATATTAAACAAAGAAACACAAAACTACACGAGTTGCACTGTAACAAAAGCTATGGAGGAAAGGGGCTGAGTAATGAGAGGGATGTGCCTTCAACAAGGGTGATAAATTTGTATCATCCAGTTAGTCACATGCTGAGTCCTCTTCCCCAAAGAGAGCAACCACATCATTTATGAAATGGCTGTGGGATGCATGATGAACCTATGGCCAGAGAGCGCCTGCCCAGATGGGACTCAAACCATAGCCTTTTTTGACCACTCCCATGCTCCCAACCAATAATCAGAGTCTCTGTTCATGAAAATACTCCTCTTCCAAATTACCTCACAAACTGGGTTCCTTGTTACTCATTTATTCATGCATGCACTTATGAATTTAATAAATGGATATTTACCAATGGCATATTATATATATGTATAAAATATATACACTATCGTGGTCCCTGCCTATAGAACTTTATAGCAGAGTAACTCGGCAGCTGCTAACTCCCAAACCTCAAACAATCCACTACTCAAATGCGAAATTACATATTCATTTAATATTTACTTACAAATGAAGCTTAGCTGGCCAAAAGTGCCATATTTCATCAAATCTAAAATACTACTGAAGTACTATTAAGGACTAATAAGAGAGAAAAAATGCTGCCAATTTATTGTAGATATGCTCAATTATAAGACACATCTCAATTTTAGAAATATTATAATGTAATAAAAGGGGGGGGGCTATAGCAACAACACTCCTGTCCTTTGGTAAAACGAGACTGTTTTCCTATACTTATGGAAATTATTTTGAACATCCCCAATTATGCTTCTGTGGAAAAATGAATTTGAGGTCAGAAAATCACATTACTTCCTCATGGCTACGCTGGTACATTTAGATGAAGACCATTTCATATTTCTCAAATAGAGATTTGCTTCTCAGATGCAATGGCAACAGATACTAATATCAGAAACATCACTGCTGAGGGTCCCCTTTCCCCAACTACACTTCTGAATATTTGCCTGATTCCAAAATCAGCTTACACAACTTGGCAAACACATGAAAAAGGCAGGTGGCATCTTTGAGCAGGGTAGTCACCTCAACAAAACAACAAGGCTGCCAAAAATGAAAAAAGAATGAAAATTAAAAAGAAAAAGAGGGGTGCCTGAGTGGCTCAGTTGGTTGAACATCCGACTCGTGGTTTCAGCTCAGGTCATGATCCCAGGGTTATGGGATCGAGCCCTGCATCAGGCACTGGCATTGGGCATGGAGACTGCTTAAGATTCTTTCTCTCTGCCCCTCTCCCCAGCTTGAGTGAAAGAAAGAAAAGAAAGAAAGAAAGAAAGAAAGAAAGAAAGAAAGAAAGAAAAGAAAGAAAGAAAGAAAGAACAAGAAGAAAAGAAAAAAAGAACACCACAGACCACAGCTTCAGAAGGGAACTATAGTGTCACAAAGCATGTACTAGTAAAAAGAATACTACAGAGTCAGAAAACCTGAGTTCTAACATCCATTCTGATATTGGCCAGGAAACTTTCTGAGTTTATTTCCTCATTTGCCAAATAAAGACATGACACCAGTTGGATTGTAAAGTTCACTTTCTGGCATTAAAATACCATAATTCAGGGGCTAAAAATACTGCCTCCTGTTCCCTATTTATTCTACAAGACCCAACCTACAGGAATCCCTGGCTTGTGTTTAAAATGACCTTGCAGGAGCCCCTGGGCGGCTCAGTTGGTTAAGCGTCCGACTTTGGTTCAGGTCATTATCTCGCGGTCCGTGACTCTGAGCCCCGCGTCGGGCTCTGTGCTGACCGCTCAGAGCCTGGAGCCTGTTTCGGATTCTGTGTCTCCCTCTCTCTCTGACCCTCCCCCATTCAAGCTCTGTCTCTCTCTGTCTCAAAAATAAATAAACGTTAATAAAAATAAAAATAAAATGACCTTGCATAGCTTTGTGTTTCTTGAAACACTTTACTAACTCAACTTCAAATGTGCTTATAAAATCATTAAACTGGTTCATGGAAGAAACCTTCCTTATTTTTCATTGTATTTTCTTTCCTCACTTCAACTGGATTCTTTCCCTTTTTTCATAAACTATAAAACTGGTTTGTTCTTGCTTTGTTCTTTGGGTTGTTTGGGCTCAAAAATTTCTAAACATTCCAACAGGGCTCTGGAAGACACCTACAAAGTGTTTGAGTTGGGTTTTTTTTTTTGTTTTTTTCCTAAAGCAAATCAATATTGCAACACTTGTGACCTTCAGCACAAATGTACCCTTCAGTTGCTACTGAAACTTAAGAGGACAGAGGAAACAAAATTCTCTAGCATCTCTAGTTCTATTACTAACCTCAGAGCATAAATAAGTTGTGACCACGCTAAAAAAAAAAGTTTGCTAGGTGGAACTGTTGTGGCTGCTGTTTTACTAGTGAAAGTGGAAATGGGTTTAAAAACGTGGCCTGAGTAGATTTGGAGAATTTAGAGGGATTTCTGCACTAAACACTATAGTCTGTAACCCCTCTAATATAGGAGATAAATTAGTTTAGATCTCAGACTCTCAGATTCTTAATAACAGATTGATCACATGACTAGGATAAATGAAGTCCATTTGAGCAACAGAAAACTACACTTGATGGTTTTTTAAGGCCCTGTGTAGGAAAAAAGAACTCCCAGTTTTGTGAGCAAAGGGTTACTAAATATTGGTAAGCGTGGATTAAAGATCCTGATTCTTTTTTTTTTTTTTTTAATTTTTTTTTCCACGTTTATTTATTTTTGGGACAGAGAGAGACAGAGCATGAACGGGGGAGGGGCAGAGAGAGAGGGAGACACAGAATCGGAAACAGGCTCCAGGCTCTGAGCCATCAGCCCAGAGCCTGACGCGGGGCTCGAACTCACGGACCGCGAGATCGTGACCTGGCTGAAGTCGGACGCTTAACCGACTGCGCCACCCAGGCGCCCCAAAGATCCTGATTCTTTAGACACTTCTCCTAAGACTCTCCTTCTACTAAGACAGCAGACCTACCTGAGGCTAGGATTTTTCAGAAACTCAGAGGAGCAGGACCCCAGGTGAGAATGACATGGCTATAATTAATCCCTTTTTCTCTTCTGCTTACAATACATTCAACTGTCCTTTAAATTATACACAAGAATCTCCAGAAAACTTTCCCAAATAAACCCAACTTTTTCCTACTTGCCAAAGTTATCTAGCCAGATGTTTGTCCTACCAGATGTGGTCTGGTTAAGGAAGTGTAGCTATTAAGTGCATACTCATCCTCCCACACTTTTGGAATGTAATCTTCTCAAGAAATGAATTAAGTCTTGTCCAATACTCAGTACAAGCCGAATTAGGAGGGAAGTGTAAGAAAGGAAGAATAAAACTATCACTGAGTGTGTATTACATCCCGGGTACCTTATATAAATTGTTTCAATAATTCTGCACAGTGAGCCCTGATTATCCTGTACTTCATCATTTCCAGGATGCACATTTTTTCACTTTTCAAGATGTCTTAAATCTGGATGCATCTGACAACTCATAATGGCATGGCACAATTTTAATTGGCAATCATTTTCTACTGTTTGTAGTAGACAAAATAATGGTGCCCCATACAAGTGATGATGTCTCACATTCATTAAAATATCATTTTCATGGGATTGGAAACAGAAATTGAGAAGCAGATTCAGAAAAGTGCCTAGGGTTACTACACAGACTGTAAGGGACTAACCAGACTTCAAATGTGATATGGTTAATTTCAAAGTCTCTTCCTATACAGTCAACCTAACACAGAGACTTTGAACACAGCAAGAATTTTCAATAGTCAGCATTACTCAAAGACTAGCAGCAACCTTGGGTATTAAATTTTCAGGAACCGAGGAGTCCACACCGCCTGGTGGAGACACTGCAAATAGTTGGTTAAGGTACCAGCCAAACCTAAACTTCTAGGAGTTTTCTGGGCTATGCTGACTCTGGGGTGCAGAACCCAGCTTTCTGCTAAGTCTACAATCTACAGGGAGAAAACAAAAACAAAACCAAAAACAAGCGGCAGCCTTACTCCCTCTCCCCAGTTTGCTACTGAGACATTCTTCCCCCATCTCTCAATCTAGACGCTCAACTCTCCCAGCTGAGTTCATCCTGGACCACCTCACCTCTCACTCCCAAATAGGGGCAATCTAGATGCCGCCCCCATCCGGCCATTCATCATCGCGGGCGCTAGAGCATGCCCCCAGGTCTGCAGGGCTCCCAGACCCGAATCCGGGTTCGGCCACCCTACTTAGGCCAGCAGCCCAAGTCACGCCCCCCACCCCACAAAGCTCCAGCAAAGCTCCTTCCGCCCCAGGAGGTCCCCAACGTGGGGCCGCACTCTCGCGTCTCCCAGGCCCCCGCTGAGGTCCGGCCCCGGAGGGCCCAGCCACGGCCTGGGCCGGGACGTTGGGCCTGGCGAGGCCAGGAACTCTCGGAGACCTGGAGGAGAGAGTCTCGGCTGGACTCACGAAGGAAGGAGCGCGACAGGAGGCGGGCGGCTGCCAGGCAGCTGCTGCCAGAGGCCATGGTCGCAGTGACAGCGGCAGCGGCAAGAGCTGCGGTCATCCACCAATGACACTCCCAGGCCCCCGGGGACCTGGTAAGGGCCGAGGCTCGAAGAGGAAATGGGTGGCCATGGCAGTCGCCTAAATGAATATTCCGCCGCAGAGACTTCGCCAAACATTGGACACAGTAAGTAGAAGGGAAAAGAGGTCTCTTAACGGAGAAGAGGACATTAACTCGGCTGCTCCCCGGAAATGTGGCTTTAATTCAACATTATTTACAACGGCAGCTTAGGAAAAACCTCACGCGAGGCGGGTCGGCGCATAGCATTGTGGGAAATGTAGTTTGGTGGCCTCGACTTTGTGGTTTAGGTGGAGCCGTGCGGGAGGGGAAGCGAGCGGGAAAGGGGATACTCAGACCCAGGAGATGGGGTGGCAAGAGGAATGAAGTGCGAAGAGCAGTGCAGAACTTTCCGTATCCTTAAACCAATCTGGACCTTCATTTATCTCGGCTGGCATACGGAGAGGTCAATATTATTCCTCACCACATACCCTTGTGAGGACCTGGAAGAATTACCGATGGTAACAATGTGAGTTCATGCTATTGTCCAGTGAAGGTAAGGAAATGACGAGAAAGACCAAAAACTACCTTACTGACACTTAATTTCTTGGAATATGGATCTTTTGGTCAAACAAGCTATCATACAGCTTTTGACTAGCACTAAGTGAATCCCCTTCCCTGGGGATCCTGGAACATTGAAGTTATAGATCAAATGTGACTGCTCCTTTTTAAACAAACCGGTCATTCCTGTAAGTGGTTTAGAAGGAAACTCAGAGTCCAGGAGTCAAAGAGTAAACAGATAAAGTAATCTCTCTCCCTGCTTCCAAACATGATCTGAGGTTCCTTGTCATTCTCATCAATAGAATTATGATAATTTACTGACGTAGTAATTACAATTTACACTGAGCTATGTGATGTATGAGTAGGATTACCCAACAGAGATTTCCCAATATTTCTTCTATGATCCAGATATTGTCAGTCCTGGGTTGGACTTGTCTACTCACAAATCCCTCCCTTATCTAATGTATTATGTTCTTGCGATCATGTATTTAAATAGTATCAGTGGTGGGGTGCCTGGGTGGCTCACCCCACCCAGATTGAGCCAAGGACTCTTGATTTTGACTTAGGTCATGATCCCAGGGTCATGAGGTCAAGCCCCACTCTGGCTCCGCACTGAGCGTGGAGTCTGCTTAAGATTCTCTCTCTCCCTCTACCCCTATCCACCTGCCCATCAAATGAAATAAAATAAACAGTGGTTTCCAAATAGGTCCAGTATGAAGACTCATTTTCAAGAGCAAAGTTCTTCCTAAACATTTACATGATGATAGTTATGTTTTTAGTTTTATTTAATTGGTAAAATGCATGATGACAAGAAATAGAATTCTGGTATGATTGTAATGAATTTTTATTCCCACAAAACACGGATTTTAGCTTGTTTTGTACACTGATGTATCCTCAGCATCTAGAACAATGGCTGGCACAAAAAGAGAACTCATTATTTGTTGAGCATTATTTCTTGAATTGACAGATAAGAAATAGCATATACATTTATTTATTGAATCCACACACAAAGTTTGATGGTGTTTCAGTCATTCAGAATAACTACACCTCTGCCCCAATTCTATAGCTCATTGATAGGAGACAGTTGCAGTAGGCACTAACTATACTACCTATTTTTATATGCAGATTGGTTTTGGAGTCAGACAGATCTGGATTCAAATTCCCATACTGTTGTGGGCTGTGTGACCTCTGGTTTTTCTCACTGAGATGAGTATGAAAATCCCTGTCTCATAATAGTGTTGTGAGCAGTTAATGCTCTTTGTACCTTATAAACATTCAGTAAATGGTAGTTATTATCATTAAAGATAAGAACTTTCATCTTCACATGGCAGGATGATGTTTTGAAGTTCCACCAGATGTGGAATAGGACATTTCCATGTGTGTCCAAACTTTGGCTAAAGCCCCAAAGATGAGGGCAAAAGGCCATAAGTAACTCCACGTTCTAAGGAGGGAAGCCTAGGAGATACCTCCCTCAAGATTGTAATAAGAGTAGGACAGAATTGTTTTTGGATTCTCCCACTCACACCCTAGCAACTCAAATAAGCAAAAGACTGGAATTCATTGAATGAGGGAATTCTGAGTCATGAGTTGTCCCCTGAGGTTCCCCTTTCCTCTCACCCCACCAGACAAGTTCGTGGCAAAGGGCTCCTTACTAAAAGGACTGGCACTAAATCAAGGCTAAATCCTTGCAGAACTGCAGAAGTTCATGAACCTACCCCAGTGTCCTAAAGTAGATCTAGTCAAAGAACATTCAGGAAAACTTGAGTTTGGATGTCAGACCTAAACATAAAGCCTAATATCTGCTTCCTGTCTGGAGAACTCCAGGCAGGAGGCTGTCTAGAACAACCCTCACTTGTAGGCAGGGCATTGTTTGGTATGGCAAGATGTGTAATAATCCCATGGGTGAAATTGATGCCAGGAAAGAAAGCTGAGCTTCCCCCTAAGGATCTCCTGCTGGGACAAGGAACCATAGCATAAAAAACCATGGAAGATTCCCCCCCCTCCCCAGGGGCAGGAGGGGGACAGTGTAGGGGAGAGGTTTACAGGAGGTCAGCCAAAGAGCATATAACTCATCAGGATACTGTGCAGATGGGGTTCCCTAGGCAGGGTGGGAGGAGAGGAGCTACGGAGAAACCCACAGCATTCCAGAGCATAAAGACCAGAGAGAACCTCAGATCACCCCATTTAAGAGATTTTATCCAAACCTCACCCCACCCCTGCAGGAGCCAAAAGCAAGGAAAGAGGAGAAGGAGTAAAAGAAGGAGGAGTAAACAGACCTTGACTCCTTCCCAGCTGCAGGTTGTGGAGCCATAGATCGCACCAGACATTGGAGGGGGTAAGGAGCTTTGAATTAGGCATAAGATTTACATTTTTGAATTGGATTTAATGGGACTTAGAATTATTAATTTTTTTTAATTAAGGCTATTTTCCCCACGAATAAAAATCCAAAAGTTACAAAAAAATTATATAGTGAGAAATCTTTCTTCTGTTTCCCCACTACCCAGTTCTCCCAGGTTAAATCAATATTATCCAATTTCTTGTGTAGACTTCCAGATCTACTTTGCACACATACAAGCATACATATGTATCCATTCTCCTACCCCCCACATCACCCTTCTGTGTTGCCACTAATGTGGGAAGAAAAAGGGCCAAAACAGGACTGGTGGGGGAGTCAGAAGACAAGCAGTCAAGGTGACTACTATCCATGCTGGCAGTCCCATGGCCGTGTCTTTTTCTGCTTAATTTATTCTGAAGAACCAAGAATCTTGCAACCAAGAATCTTGACAGGTCTGAGCTAAGTAATGAGGTTCAAACTATTGGAACAAAGTCTCATTTGCATTATTTTTAAGGAAATAAATCAGCTGTTGTCACTGATCTGTATATCCCAATCAGACCAAAAAAGGGAATCTGACCAAGACTCTGGTGGATTCTCTAACTGATAAAGGAAATACGGGTTTGTTTGTTTTTTTTTAATATATAGAAGAGGAGTTCTAGTTCTGTATTTTACCTTGATTTTAATATGAGCCCCCATTCTTCCAGGATTTCAAATCCATCTTCTTTCACCAGAGTTTTGTCTAAATTTCTGGTGGAATGTTGGGGTGAGTTGGATGAGGCAGAAGAAGCATTTGGTCCTCTGTCCGTACAGGCAGCCCCTCATGTGCATCCTTCCATCTCATTCTCAGCTAGTGCTGTATCATCCCTTCCTCCTACTTGCAATGCTCCTCTTGGTCTGGCTCTACCAGCTATTTCTGGGCTCTTCTTAGGTGCATGAGAACCACTCAACCCCTCTGGTGCTGTGCTGGACCATAGCTAACATCCCTGCTTGCCTAGATGCACCGTTTAGCAGAATCTTGTAACCATTCTGCTTGCTTTCTCTCTCATCTGTCTCTGTCTCTCTCTGTTTCTCTGTCTCTTTCTTGAGAACAACAAGTTCCTGGGCTAGGGGCCACATTGTCTCCCCACCCTCCAAATTCATATGTTGAAGTCCTAGCCCCCCTGATGGCTATATTTGGAGTAAAGAAGTAATTAGGGTTAAATTAGGTAAATTAGGGTTAAACACCAATATTATTAGTGTTCTTATAAAAAAAAATACAAGAAGGGTGCCTGGGTGGCTCAGTCGATTGAGCGTCCAGCTTTGGCTCAGGTTATGATCTCACAGTTCATGGGTTCGAATCTCACATCAGGCTCTGTGCTGACAGCTCAGAGCCTGGAGCCTGCTTTGGTGTTTCCCTTTCTCTGCTCCTGTCCCACTAATGCTCTATCTCTCTCTCAAAAATAAATAAACATTTTAAAAAATCATTAAAAAAAAAAAAGAAATACAAGAGAGCTCCCTCTTTCCACCATGTGAGGACACAGCCAGAAGGCAGCCATTGGCAAAGTAGCAAGAGAACTTTCACCAGGAGCCAAAGTGGCCAACACCTTGATTTTGGACTTTCAGTCCCCAGAACTGTGAGAAATTTCTGTTGTTTAAGCCACCCAGTCTGTAGTATTTCTTTATGGCAACCTGAACACACAAATACACCCTGCTTCGTGTATCCCTTAACTCATTTTGGTGATTCTTTTGACTACTCACCTCCCTCCACCTTCAAGCAGGGGAACTTGGGGGGGCGGGGATCAATGCCTAAGCTCTCCTGGCTCCCTGCTCGTTTCCTAGCCTGGGATCCTTTTCTGGTCTTGGAAACATTAACTCACATTTTTGGTCCAAATCTAAGTTGCTTCTGCCATTCTCAGGGACTTTGAGATACACATTCCTTTCCTGGGGGCAATTGAGAGTGCCAGAAATGAATTGGTAAGGGGAAGGAGTAGAAATATTTAGGAGAAGAGGGTCAAAGAAGGAGCTACTGGAAGGAAAAGCATCAGTTAATGTTATAGATTACCTCCCTGCTGCAATCTGGGTGCCCCAAAGCTTTGTGTGTATTCACCTAGGCAGTCTGACTGCCATGTGGAAATGGAAC